ATTTCTTTTTTCTCTTGCAGCGCTTTGTCCCGTGGATCGTGATTTCACATTTCGTTGAATTTCACGTAAAGCTTCGGCGATCTATAACACGGTTAATAAGTTTACGCCCGCGAGAGAAAGGCGAGGGAGGCCAGCATACGCACATAATTACTTTCCGCGTGCCTGGGAACAGGATTAATCGAGGAGTCCTTTTTCTTATTTGTTTACATTCCAATATAATGATCGGTGTCGTGGACTTTCTTTTCCGCGGGGGGCGGTACTCCGTGGTCCATAAATAAAATCAACACCGTAACCGTTTTGCACGGTCCATGGCGATTTTTATGCTCGCAGGGAAATAAATTGAGCCTTTAATGAAACAGCCCTGGTATCGATCAAATTATCTTCGAATTGTTCCCTTCTTACGAATGTAGGGAAGACGAAGGACAGCCTCGAATTTTCGGGACACACTGAAACTGTTTTTTCCACTTTTGCTAAAATAGTTTAATGAAATAATAAGTTTGATAATAAACCTGGAGATTTGAACTCATTTTGGAAGCAAGAACATTGCACACAACTACATATTTTTTATCTTATATAATCAACACGTAATAAAATTCAGTTTAATTTGATTACTATTATTAATATTATTATTACACAACTACATATTTTTTATCTAATAAAATCAACACGTAATAAAATTCAATTTAATTTGATTACTATTATTAATATTATTATTGTTATATTTATCGTGTTTAGGTTTGCATCCATTACGATCTTAAGTGTATAATACACAGGCAATAATTTAAATTCGTTAATTATATCTAGCTTTGTTCATTAGTGCATAGTAAATAAATATGCGGGAAACGAATATCATATTTTCCATCAGGTGCATTTAAATGTTAATATATATGCACGTGATGGAAAAGATGATATTAGCTTCCCGCATTTTTATATTATTATTAATAATATACATATTGTTGACGGAGTATGCTAAAAGTATATCTTCCGAGTTTGCTAAGGGAAGCTCTTAATAAATCTCATTTCTTGGGAATATTTGCAGTTTAATTATGATAAACAAATTAATAGGGTACCAGGAGCTTTTAA